CTCTTCAGATTGGTGCTCAGAGAGGACAGGGACATAGGCATCCTCCCTCCTCTTTCCCGCTCTGACAAGCCTCCCGGTTCAGTTCATGGGCGCTTTCATTCCAGGTACAGAAAAAGTTTTCCCTTCTGGGTAGCCTCGGTTCTTGGAACCTGTCTCAGCCCGTCTGCCTTTTGCTGTTTTTAACGACCTTCTGGTGATCCGCGCCACGTTTTGCACAAAAAGCAAAAAATGGGTACAAATGCTCTGTGCCGACCAAATCCGCTTGGAATGATTAATAATTGTAACGGCGTGCCTTTCTGTTTGGGTAGTGAAGTTTAAGTGTATAAAAGAAGGAAAAAAAAAATAGGAAAGAAAAAGCACCGCACTGCCTTAAAAGAATCTAGATCGTCATCATACCAAGGAAAGTGAAATACCAGAAGCAGAAAATAACTTCACCGTTCGCATATCCAAACCCTCGTCCCTACTCTCTTCCTTTAGCTCGCTTTTCTCTCGCTTACCCTCCCCCGCCACTTGATGCCCTATATACTTGCTGTCTCTTTTGGAAAAGCGCGTACCTCTTGCTTAAATGGATAACGCAGCCATCTTGGTAACTTTATCCTAGAGTTTCTAATTGCGTTTCCCCCTTATTTATTTTTAGTTTAGCAAGTTGTAGCTTTGGGGCTTGCTCCGTCTTGCATGTGATAGTCCTAGGATGGCAGCCAAGGGATCCGAACCCCACGCTCCGTGCAGCTGCCTCCCTTTCTGCCTTTATTCTTAAATGACAGCATCAGGTACAGGACATCCTGGCAGTCAGAGCCGTTTTATTATTGTAATTATGGCACCATCCATAATAGCCGTGATAAATACACTCCACCCTTGTTACCCTCGGGGAAGAAATAGTTTTTGGTTTTGTTTTTTTTTTTTTTTTAAATATTCGGAGCCAAGTGGGTATGAGCGGAGAGGTTCAGTGTAATTCATAGCCGTAGCGAGAACACACAGAAATCATGCCTGTTTTCCACGTTGGTACACTGTAGTATTTTGCTAGTGGGTTTGGTGGAAGTCAGCACTTTGTTTTGAGATCTATCGGATCACGCCCTGGGCAGAGGAATGAGCGCCCGTGGGCAAAGGTTAGGAAGACCGATAGCAGTGCCTTGGCTCGTGGAGTCACCCCTGTAACAGAGAGTCTCTGGGAACTGTAAAATGCATCCATCCTGAGCACATCTCTCCTCTTGCCTCGCGTGAGCAAACTACAAAGACCCGATAGTCCAAAATGTAGCCGCCTACTCTCCAGAAAATTAAAATATCTGGCGTGTGTGACTTGGACGGTGTTGACAAAAGAGGATCTATTTTTAAAACGTTGTCAGAGGCCAGATTTGTACTGAAGTATCGATAGAGGTTTTGGAAGAGCAAAGGAGATTGCAGGTATCTACCAACAGAGTGCATCAGACGTTTGGGATCGGAGGGCCAGTTAGCGGCGGATCCAGTACTACTGTGCGAGGGCTGTCGCTAACATCAGAGTAAGTAGGTTAACTGTTTTTCCACTGCTCTCTAGTTATGCTGGATGGAGCGAACCTTTCCAAAAAAGACAGAAAGGAAGAAATCGCTCCACCATATTTTAAAGGAAGAAATTGAAAGCGCGGCTCTGGCGGCCACGGGCGCTTTTCCCCTAGACGTCTCGGAGTGAATTTTTTTAACTCTACTGTTTCTGCTGCATCCGAGGGAGGCGGGAGGGAGAAGGGGATCAGTGTGAATGCGCTGGAGGTCAAAAGCTGCTGGAAGGAAGGCATGGGAAAGATCAGTGGTTCAGTTTTTACCACAAGTTGTTAGCGTTCAGTAACTGACTACAACCCAAGTATTACAAATATGCTCTAATTATACTCGTAGTGAGCAATATATCACTACAGATCGCTGATAGGTCTTTGTGGGGCATTTTGTAAAGTTCAGACTAAATATTTTTAGCAATGAGGAGATTTAAAAGGAAAACTATAAGAGATATTGTATATACCCTAAGGCATATTTTGTCTTAAATATTATCCTTGGCCAACTGTACTGTATAAATACAGTAAATATGAATAGAACTGGCAAGATGCCAATCTCCTGGGATGAATTTTAGTCAAGAAGGTATTTATGGGATATAAATAATACTGTGTCAACATTTGAAAAAGGGATCTGATTAGTTTTGAATTTATTCATATTAATCTTTTCACATGCTGTTAGTTTAAGGCTCAAAGTGAAGTTATGCTAAGGTTTACTGATAGTTTGCGCTGAGGAAGTAAGGGGGCATCTGGCTTGACAGTCCACTTGAGGTTAAAGACACATCACGTCAGAATATATGCGGGAATTCAGCGAGTCGGGGACTGCCGGACCCAAAAGCAACAGATGTGAAAAGGAGTGGCGGAAAATAATACTACAAAGAGGTTTGGAAAAACCAAAAGGCTTTTGTCTGTCAAGCATGCCTGCCCGCGTTGTGCTTGCGACAGCGTGGATTAGATACTGAAAGTCGGAATCTCTCCTGAGTCCAGCTGGCAGGCAGGAATTGAGTCGTTTTACGGAGTGGTTTAAAGAGGGAGGTGGGATATGGAAGCGGAGCACAACATCAGAGAGAGTTCTTGCGAATTCTGTGCCTCGGCAAAGTTACCTGAGTAGATGCTTAATACTGATTTCTGTGAAAGCTGGGTCACATTAGGAGTTTGTTACTTACCAGTGCTTCCTTGGTTATCCAGGGCCTGATACTTAAGCTAATTATTTATTTGAGGCCGGATGCTAATTGCCATTGCACTGATAATAAGCAGAAATTTAATGCCAGCACAGTTAAGGGTTGCGAATTGTAATACTAATGCATAACTGGGATATTCCTGAAAAACAGGCAACGTGTGTGCGGGTGCTGGGGCCCGATTCTGTCATCTTCATTCATGGCAATTTTTATCACAGTCAGTACTGATGGCTTAAGGCTAACACAGGTACATTGTTAAGTTTTCCGCATTCTTGGAGATAGGTCTGTAAGTACTCAGAAATCACAGTTCTTCTGGGTTTGCGCCCAGTTTTGCATGGATTTTAAACTACTTTGGTATGAAGGAGCCTCCACAGGTTCCAGCCTGCACTGGGTGGTGAGATTAGTCTTCTCAGGAGCTCTGTACCATAAATACTGCTTTACATAGACTATCATTCTGCTCAATGTTCGCCTCATGAAAGACAACATTATAAACTGGCTGGGCACAATGACATGCTTCTACTTTATCAACAAGGACTCGATTTACCAGCAATTATACATATGTGGGCTCCTTGTCTTCAGGGTACCAGAATTACTCGTGCTCCGCATCCACCGGCACTGACTGCATCACTACCACGATGTTAACAGCTACGGCTGCGCAGCTCGCGTGTGTTTGCATTTAACAGAACACAGAACTTAATCTTCCAGGATTTCCTACGTTGTTAATGATACGGGAACAGTCTCTGAAGGAATACCTTATTTTAAAACCTTCTAGCTATGCTGGCACCTCTTGCACCTCTGCACCTCTTGTAGCACGCGTTTGCCAGTTCTTACTCTCTGGTTTGCAGAGAGACCGGGAGAGGCTTCCCTGAGGAGAGATGTGGGAGGAACAGTTCCTTGCTCCTTGCTCATGAATGGCACTTAGTGCGGTCTTCCCAGGTGGTGATGAAGAAACCCAGGAAATTGGAAACGGCTTTGAAAAGGGGCAGGGTAATTTTCTGGACAGTAGTCCTCTACTTACTAAGAGGGATAATAAAATAACATGCTCCGGTGCACTAACCAAGGGCAGCTGAAATCAAAGAGAGCTCTCTTCTTCCACTCCCACCCATACGGCGCAGATGGTGGGGTGCACCATGCGTGTTTCCTGCCTGGCTTCTGAGTCACCAGCGACTTGCTGTAAGCAGGGTGCCAAGCTGGGAGAGGGGGAGGTCCACAAGCCGGTCTGGCATGGTGCATGGTCCATCCCTGCATTTCTTCCAGAAGATGAAGCCTACAGAAAAGCAAAACACCCGTGACCCCCTCTCTTTATCACTGCAAGGTGAGAAAACCTGCAAGACAGAAACATAGGGCTATATTCCCGAGTCCTTTCTGTAACGCTCCTTCAGTTTCTTTTTGGTGTCAATTTTATAGAGGCACTTTCGCTCTAATTTGGTGAGTGAAAAGGTTAGATGTGCGTAGCTGCTTCTACCGCTCCCCAGCCCCTTGGCATTGTGAATGTTTTGCAGTCCCAGAGACCTATTTGGAAATGTGCCCTTGTCTTCTGC